CGGGCCCTGGCTGAGGGTCTGTGGCCAGCCAGGGCCCTGCGACACCAGAGGAACCGGAGCAATGTTGGGGCGGGAGTTTGCAGCACGGCCGCAGAGGAAGGTGGTAACGCAGAGGATCCACTATTGTGCTCACGATGGTTTTGCTGCAGGAGTTGCCTATTTTGCTGCACGGTTTTGTAGTAACAAATACGTTTTGTTGTTTCTCTCGCTCTCTGCATCTTTCCCTTATGCGGGCCCTGCGACACCAGAGGAACCGGAGCAATGTTGGGGCGGGAGTTTGCAGCACGGCCGCAGAGGAAGGTGGTAACGCAGAGGATCCACTATTGTGCTCACGATGGTTTTGCTGCAGGAGTTGCCTATTTTGCTGCACGGTTTTGTAGTAACAAATACGTTTTGTTGTTTCTCTCGCTCTCTGCATCTTTCCCTTATGCAAAGATACGTGGATGTGCTCCGGGTGAGCCACCGCCCGGGAACCTTACGTGGTGTTTTCCAGAGCCGCCAGCTGACCCTCGCATTTTGGGTTCCTGCAGGCTGCGTGAACTCTATAGCCTATATCAACAGCAAGTTCTCCCGTCCATCGATTGCAAGGACGCTGGTGGCCAGGACAGCCCCCCTCGCCCAGCGTGCGCTGCTTTCCTTGGAAAGTTAGCTCTTTTCTGGCAATTTCATAGCAAAAAGCAGGGGGACAAAGGCACTCACTTGGTATGACAGTGGTTTCCCCCGGCGGGGCAGTGATAGTGACGGGGATGTTCACAGCGGTGGTTTTGTCCAGAGGTGGCTGAATCATCCGTGTCACGTTCTTCTGGTTGTCAGCATCTTCTGGCTGCTCCGGCACTTTCTGCAGATAGGTGCTGGGAAGGGTGTGCACAGGGACACTCACGCTTCCGCTAGCCTCGATCTCACACTGGTTCTCCCTAAGGTAGAAAAGCAGATTTTATTAAATATAGCCCAAGAAGGATTCAAAGAACATACGCACCCTGATGCTGCACCTCTTGCTAGGTTTCACAGACCGTTTTCTTCATGGTAGTCCTTTGCAGAAAAGACACATTCTGCAGGACAACTTACTGATAGCACAGTATGTGACCTTTTCCGTCGAGACCTTCTGAACCAACATCCAAGCACAACATTAAGAGCAACTGTGCCACTGAACATCATTTTATTCCATTTAATGAGGCTCAGAACTGAGGTTCATAAGCAAGGACCGCATGGCACTTGCATGTAACAGTGACATTAGCTTTCCAGCATCAACTGGTTTCTGAATGAAGTCTGACATTCTGCTTCTTAATGTTCTCCTGAGGGTTTATTTAAATTTGGTGTTTCCCTTTTCCAGTCCTAGACCACTCTGTAGTGTTCCTGTAAGTGGCTGAATAGCTTCTGCATTCCTCTGCAGCAGTGGCTATATTTCAGTAAGGAGGAAAGTGAGCTTGTGCACATGATCAAACTAAACAGTATTCAAAGTGTTTTGAAATCCATCTGAAAGAAAGATAATGTAGACGGGAAAATTATTATCTCAGTGCCACTCACAGCTCTCCACGGTGACATGAACTATTCTAAAGGATCCCAGTGAAATTTCTTTTCCATCAGACTAATAAAGCTGAAAAGGCAATCTATCCTTCTTTATTAACTACTCTAAATGCTTCACGAGTACTGTTTTTCTCACTTGACTTACATAAGAATTAAACCAAATGGGGTACATCATTGTTCTTAGTGGAAGAAGCCACGTGCTGTAACAACTGGTGATGCAGCTGACGGGCTCACCGTAAGAAAACCAAAGGGCTATAAGCAAGACTGGATGCGGTGTAAGTACATGTCCCTCAGAAACTTCCTTCAGAGGCTGTGAAATTCGCCGTTCCATGTTACGTCCTAGAGGGCCTGTTGGTATTTACACCAAGGATATTCCTCTCCTTAAACCTGAGCTATTCTATGGGCCATCGCAGACCAAGATCACCTTTGGGAACCTCTGTCACTACCAATTTAAGCAAAATGGAACTGCAGGTCATGGTGATAGATGGTGTGAGTGCCAGAAGAACAGCAGAGAATGCCACGAGGAGGGGAATAAGTCATTTCCTAAAAGGTGTTTGGGGTCTCACGCCCCCCGAAGTGTCCCAGGGACGTGTCTGGCCACACCAGTACACACTTACTTGGGCTGATGATTCCGATGCTCCTTCTCGCCAGCCTCCCCGTCCTTGTCCCCATTCTCCACTGAGTCGTACGTTGACAGGGCCCTGTTCCTGAACCTGTGCCGTCTGTGAGGCTCTTCTCCATTCTCGCCCTTGGACCCAGGCTCTCCTTCCCTGTTCCCAGACCTCGACCCTCCCCGGTGTCGGGAACGCCGCTCGCTCCTGGCCCCATTGATTGTCCCGTTGCCTTCCTTGCCTTGCCGTTCGGCAGAGTGCCGGTGAGTCCGGTGCCTACGGTGCTCCTTCTCAGCACCTTCTTCCACTGACCCTCGGCGATGGTGCCTCTTTCCCCCTTCCTGGCCCCTGTTGCGATCACTTTTCCCTTCCTTACTCCCCCCTTCCACCTCCTTGCTGCGGCTCCTGTGCTGCCTGTGCCGCTCCTCCTTATTGTTGGCGCCAGATTCCCCATTCTCATCCTTGGCCACGTCGCCCTTCTCTTGCTCTCCCAGTTTGTCCTTATCCCGATGCCGGTGGTGCTTTCGTGGAGCTTCTGCCCCATCAGTAGAGATGACTTTGGTCTGCTCCACCTCCTGCACGTCCACAGGGCTCAGCTTGCTGATGTTGTTCCTCCCTTCGCTCCTCGGCTCTACCACCAGCGGCCGATCCAAATGAGTCTTCATGTCTGGCCTGATGTGCAGGGTGGTAGCGTAGCGCACCCGCTCCTCCGGATCCAGCTCGTTGTACAGCGCCTCGCAGCTGGCTCGGAAATTGTGCATCCGGATCTGGCTGGTCCGCTGCTCCCAAACGGACTTGGATTTGGAGGAGTTCTGCTGCTTGCTAAGGAGGAGAGGAAGGTGAAAAGTTAGTATCCAACTTTGCACCAATTCCCTAAAAAGCAACAAAAAAAAAAAAAAAAAAAGAAGAGGAAATCTAGAGGGTTGAGCCAAAGAAATTACAGGAATGGAGAAAGAATGGCTGGCGGAGAACATGAGCGGGGAAAGCCAGCAGGATCGTCAGTGTTAGTTTGCCCCACGCGCGTTAGGCACTATGCAACAGGCCCTCTGGAAAGCAGTTATCTTGATTTCTAAAACATGGCCATCCCCCCTGGAAGCCTCAGGTATTGTCTGAAGGGTTGAAGTCTCCGCTTACAAAAATCATACGGCACAGCCAGAGCTTTCAAACAGCGAACAAGGCTTCCCCACAATTAACAGCACCTTTATCCCCACCTGGAAATGGCTGGATGAGCAAATTAGCGACGAGTAAGAGAAGTTAGATTGGCAGGAGGAGTGAGGAGAAATGAAACCAGCCCCTGAGGAGCCGAGCCTGAGCACGCTGCCGCCAGCCCCTTCCCCTTACAGCCAGCCGAGGGGTCACTTTTCAGGCTGCACTGTCCCGCCGGCTTACGGCACAGGAGAGCCGCTGCTCTAAACCCACGGCATCCTTCCGAGGTGAGGATGGACCGTCTAGCCCAAGCATCACCGGAATCTGGAAAAGTACAAGTAAGAAAGGAAAACTGTTCCCTGTACCGTGAAAAGACCCCAGGGACTGGGAGAGTCACACGTAGATGCAGATGTGATGCGCCTTTATCCCCCGGAGAGACCTGCTCTTTTCTGTCATCTATTGTAACGAGGATACTGCCGTTAGCGTTGCTTTCACGCTGCGATCTTTCAGCGCTGCTCTTGGTTTCTGACCACCGCACGCGAATGGGTCACCTGCCTAGCCCATGCAGGAAGGGAAGCCTTCTTTTCTTCCCTCCTAAGGACCGCAAGTCAAATTCTGCTTTTGCATCAAATCGAAGTAAACCCACCGGCTTCCAGGGTGGAGTTCTCCATTCAGCCTGGTGGAGGTCAGCACCCGTTTTATTACTTAACGAAACTTCTCTTTGTTAAAAGAGAGGAAAAATCATTTTCCTTCTACTGGTCTGCTTGGATGTCTCCATCTGCCACCCGCCAGTCTGACCTCCGCAGCCGGAGGGGCCGACGCCGGCGCAGCCCGCGAGGCTATGGAAATAGGGAGGCAGAGGCGTTTTCCTCAGGTACTTTCTGGGGTCCCTTGGCAATAGAAGAAAGCGGCTTTTGGGCATGTACGTGCTGATTGGGACTGTCAGGGTCTGTCGCCGCGCAGAACCCGGGGGAGGCAGCGTTCAGGCGGGCTCACGGAGCACAGCGGGAGCCGTCGGAAAGGCTCCGCATCTCTCGGCTCTGCCGGGAGTCGCTTCTTTACAGAGGGTGCCGCTGCCTGGTTCTGCTGAAGAGGCAAAAACCTACTGAAATGCTCACTGCAGATGGGATGAGGGCAGCCAGGCAGATGTGAAGGGATCTGATTTAATCCAGAAAACAGACTGAGCGCAGCTAATCACCAAAACTAAAAATCTACATCCCGTGTTCCCGAGAGGCACATTCTGGACCAATTTTCCACCAGATGAGTGCCCCATTTACAGCACAGCAGAAGAACGGGTGATGAAAATCACAGTTCTAAACGCAAATGTTAACAGAGGGTACTGGGGACATTGCTCAGAGCCCCACTCACCAAAAATCCCACGTCAAAGGGAAAGCAGGCTCCTCATTAGGGGAGAGCATCCCCCCGAGCTGCCCCAGTGAGCCCTGGCACAGGAGATAACGGCCTCACGGGAGCAGGCAGTAACCTGCCGTTTCTTGTGGGTTCAACCTTATGGAAGACTCAAACTCTATCACTCATCCGCAGATCTGCTCGGTTTTAGAATTAATTAAGGGATAACATGCAAAGCCTCCTCTGACCGCCCGGACCTGCCGCCCATACAGGGACTTCCCATGGGAAGCCACGCGCTCTGCGTTTGCAGCTCTCCAGGGTCAGCAGAGGTCAGCACGGAGATGGAGCTGCCTGGGACAAGTGTCCCAGGGTGTCCTGCACGTCCGCCCGGAGGGACGGGGTGCTCTGCTCTGCCGTGCTCCCCATCTCACTCCGCTGAACCAAGCTGGGCTACAAAAACGAGCCTCCTCTTTCGCACACAGGCTCAGGGAAACAAGAGAGCGTAGGAATGGGGCACTCAGACATGCACATACACGAGTACTGCCTCGGTGCATTTGTTCTTAGGGGACATTTCTCACTTTGTAATGAAAGTCCTTGGGGTGGGGACCGGCTTCTGTTTCGTGTTTTGCACGGCCAGAGCAAGCTGTCAGCACCGAAGTGGTAACTAGTAAGAGTTGGAGTCGGGAAACTGCCCTTACATTGGCTGAAACCTTCAATTTACCTACGAACCAAGAGCACAGAGCACAACCAGCACGGGATGGGCACCAGGCAGGGGTGAGATGCAAAACCCCAGTCTCCCTGCAGAGACTCTTCCAAAGTAAGCCATACAACAAATTATCAGGCAACTTTCATGGACACAGCCTCTCCATCACTGCCTGCACTGAGCCCATCAAAGCCAAGACATAAAGAAGATCTAAATGAGGCTGGATGTGGTGAGGAGGAAGGTTGAGGATGCAGGGCTGATATTCATCACACAGCTCAGAGGAGACATTTGGGACCTGCTCGCTCTGACACAAGATGTATCACTTCAGGAGGGTTTTTTGGTTGCGTATCCCTTACTCCAAGAACACAAATTAGCCTTTAAATTCTCTCTGAGGTGCTAAAGGTTCCACTGTACTTGGCTCATGGCTAACTGAAAGCTGCTGCCAGGTGCATACACCACTGAGAACCTGCAGAAACCAAATAATGCATGTATTAACTAAACTTATTTTGGTAAATCCCTTCCTTCATACAGACACTGAAGTTACAGACTCGAATTTCTCCGTATCTAGGAATGAGATGCATCCTTAACATTGACCCAAGTAGCGGAGGTGATTGCCAAAAGACTGCAACACACAGCTGCCCACTGGCTTTGGTTCCTAACAAGTCAAAGAGCAGGAGGTTCAGAAGTAATGACTGCATCCTTTCTTCTCTCTACATGAAAAGACACGACGACAAAAAAATAATCAGAAAATAGAGTGCAGTGAAAATGCAATCAGGAAAACGTGAAGTCTGCCTGCAAGCTCATCATCATATTCAAACCCATCAAGAACGGCAGACGCAAGCGACAGTGTGCACAAAGCCTGCTGTGGGAGGTGGAGGCAACGCAACCGGGCAGGTTGGTCCCTCTGGGGACAGAGTTTAGGGTTTTTCAGAGCCAAAGTGCCAGCAAGTGGAAGGAATGTGTTGTCTGCTTGTCCAATTAAATTTATCTGACTCTCGCTTTCTGCAAGTTCCCGCAGCAGCTGAACACGGACAGACCTAACGGCCTCTCCTCTCCTGCTACACTTCACCGCGGAGCAGAGCTTTTGAACTTACTCATGGCACAACAGGAATGTCACCTTAAACCAAAACACAGCCTCATTACGACTGCCCGCCCGTGAGGATACGGTGCCGACGCACACAACAAAGAACTGCAGAAGAGAGAGAAAACAGAAAAACATAGACAGGGCAAAATAATTCCCTCTGCTTCCTCCGGTGTTTAGTACAGTTAATTATTAAGTGCTGCGTGAACTGGGGCAGACACAAACCTTCTACAGCGCAAGCATGATATGCTGCAGCGTATCATGACTTGTCCAAACTGATAAAAAATGAGCCTTTGTGATAAACAATTATTTCTTCCCACAAGAGAAAACCATCTATTTATGAAGCCAACTCCTTATATGAAATCCTATTCACTGTTTGCTGCTTAAAATCTGTCTGAATCCATTATGAAAATTGCATTTATCACCTCTGATTTACAGACATAGTTCAAAGATTAATGTTAATTCACTTTCTTTACAATTACTTCCCATCCCTATTTTCTGTCTACAGAATATTTCGAACTCTTTGAAGGGTACTGGCAATATATTCAGTTTTCAGCTCCTCTGGGCTTGAAATGCTGTAGTATATATTATCGATAATACGCTTCTCTAAGTAGCTCCACAGTTTTTGCTTGGATTAAGAAGCCAGCAGTCAAACAACTCCTGCCTGTGGCTAGAAAGAAAACCATAAAATTAAGGTAGAAGCAAATAAAATTCATATTAATGAATCAGTGACTAATATTGGTATAAATAAAAAATGTAACCAGTCACTGTTTAGATTGTTCAAGATATTTTATAGTCATATTCTAACCTTAGGGTATTCCTTAATGATTAAAGATTTTAGTATCATAACCTTTTAGAACACTGCTTTAGTTAATGGCACTTTGCTTCCTAGAACTACTGGTTTAATCAGCTACATAAATGCAACCCTTAAAATTTTGCTTTAGTAAATAATGAATGAAAGATGACTGTGAACATAATAATTTGATGTTGAAAATACCTACATATTAGACTGTGAGTATGAAAGAATATGTTCCGATTACAGATGAAAGGGAATTTCTTGTTAAAATACAGTTTCAAGAGAAAATGCAATGCAAAAAAACGCTTTCCACTAAAATAATATTTTCTGTTCACGAACTTGGAGACTCTCTCTCCACATTGCAATTTTCCACTTGGAAAATACAATGAAGCATTTTAGTTTAGGGTAGACATGCACAAAACGGAGTGTTTTATCTCTGTTGGGTTTGATAAAAAAATTTTCTTTCAGATTAATTCACCGCTAGTGTTTAAATTTACTTTGCCAGTGACCCCGGGAGTTGCTGCTTGGGTGCTTTAGCACCTTTTCTTCTTTTATGAGTTACATTTCCTGCCTGAGCTCTCTCAGGAGACGCGCTGTGCCCTCCCACCGAGCTGGTGCAACGGTGTGTGTCACAAACACCGTTACCGAGGACAGTCATGGAAAATGCTGCCCAGCCTCTTCCAATATTCTTCTTGAATTCAATTTTGTTTTTACATATGAGAATTTTTGATATTTCTGTTTCTCCGGAA